GGGAGGGGGACCGCCATGCTGCTCTTCGTGGAGGTGAGCGGGGCCGGGCCGACACAGCACTTGGGGCCGGGCCGCCCCTCCCCCCCCTTCCCCTCCCCCGGCGGCTCCGGGCCGCACGTGCCGGGCTCTGGAAGCTTCTCGCGGGGCGGGGCGGGGCGGAGGCACCGCGGTGACCTTTTGTCAAGCGACGGCGGCGCGAAGGTGACACGCGGGCGGGCGGGCCCGCTCCCCTCCCCTCCCCTCCCCTCTGCCGTCCTCGCCACGCGCGGGGTTTTCGGTTCTCCTTTCCTCCCCGCCTGGGCCGTCTCCAGGAACCAGCCGCGCTCTGCCCTTCGCCCTGCCTGCCGCAGCCGTGCAAGTGCACCGGGCCACCGGGTAGTTCCCTGCCCTCCTTGGCCCTTTTCCTCCCAGGGCGAGACGCTGTGCTCGTGTCCTCACTTGCGGGGCCGCGGTCGAAGTGGAGGGTGACCCGTGGAGCCTTCGCCTCGTGGTGGCGAGCACTTCCTGGGGCAGCGGCTGCGGTAGGGTTGTACACTCGCTTTTTTTAAACCGAGCGAACGAAAAGGGTAGGAGCAGAGGCGTTTTTCTCTGAGCAGTTTGTCATTCATGGAGCGCGGTCAATACGCGGCTGACTTTGTCCAGTGTGCTGGCTTTTTTTTGTACTTTAAATAATGTTGCCTCTGAAGCTCAAGCAGACTTGATAGCGGTGATATTTTTATTGTGGTTTGTTGCATTTTGAGAGATCATCGTTTCTGGGGGGGGGGGGTTTGTTCAGGCAATTACATGCAGGTCTTAGATCAGTTGTGTCTCAATCAGTGGGACGGACGCACGCGAAGGTCGCGTAGGTGGGACTTCAACTCGTTGCCCGATTGAAAGAACCAGTTGTTTGCACTTCAAATGGAGGCATCAATAGATGGCTCAAACTGCAATTTTGTGGGGTTTTGTTTCTGTCTGGGTGCGAGCAGGGTTTTTTGGTGGCTTTTTTTGACAAAATGGTTAGTGGGACGCAAAAAGGTTGCAAACTGGTGTCTGAGATGAAACATTTCTTCAACTTTACCCTGCCTTTGTACACGCGGTTGATCAGAGGAAAGTTTTCTTTCCGCCCCCTCCTCCCCATATTGCAACATGATTTTTGGACCCAAATCTATCTCCTATTCATTTGTACTCAAAGATCAACATTTAACAAGTAAGTTTTGCCCCACTTTGGTGAAACTTATTTCCAGTGTGTGTGTGACATCACGCACTATTCAGCATTTGTTAGTCAAAATGTTTCAAATTGTTTGGCTTTAACTTGCTATAAGCAGGTTAAGTAGGGGGTTGCACATACTTGGTTAAGGGATAACCACCCAGCAGCTAATTAAGTTCCTAAAGTATTTTTAAAAAAAGTTTTAATAGCCTTATTTCCTTCAGATAAATCGCTAATATCTGCTGTGGTAGAAAACCTTGAGGAAACTAACTTTGAGAACCCACTTGAAAGGTAGAACTAAAAATTTAAAAAAACTGGACTGATGGAAAACAGCGCTCCTATAATAGAGCCCTAATGCTTTATTTCTCACCGTGTGTCTTTTTTCACTAGGTAGCATTCCTCTTCAAGACTGATCTGGCAACTAACTGTGTTCAGAGTTGTGAACAGCGAGCTATACATAAGACTGACACCAGGGTGGAAAAGCTAAACTTGCAGGGCAAGTGCTAAAGACTTCTGCAGCAGCAAGTGTTTGGAAGCGTATTGTAGAATTGAAATCGACTGACAGAAATTAAAACTTTGCCCAATAAATGGGGCCTAGGCTCTTGAGATAGTTGAAGCAAGTCAAAAGAATCTGTATTCAGGGAGTAACTAGAAGAAGGCAGGGTAGATGTGCACCTTATAGACTAACTGAATCAGATGCATCAGCTGTCATAGGCAACAGCAGGTAATTTTATATAGAAACCTGGCTTATTTATTTTTTGCTTTTTAGAGCTGTTTCCGCTGATACTGTTATCCATGAGTTAACCCGTGTGATCATTGGTCCATGACTGGCCATGTTCTGTTGTAATACTGAGTTCAAAGCAGTTAATTCAGTTTGCTAGTAGGATAACACACCAGACTGATCCACAAGAAATAAGAAATATTAACATTATGTTGCACGTTATGCATCTAAATCACTTGGAACAATCTGCATGAAAGGTGCTATACAAAACAAAACTGTATTTGAGGCCTGGAGGTGCGTGCACCTAGGGAGAGGGATACTCCAAACTGTCTGCTGCACCAGGAAATGGCAATCTAAATACTCATGTGCTTGCATATGTCTCTGTTATGCCAAAGTTTTTCAGAAGAGACAAATTAATAAAAATCAAAGCTGGTTTTTGCTTAGTACTTTTCATACGGAGTCTCTCAAGTGTTTTACCAAGTGACAAGGACTAATTGCAGGCAAGAGGGTAATGTAGAAACTGTGATGTGTTCATCAAACCAGTTTCCCCACAACTGGAAGCTTGCTTTGAGGGAGAGTTATCTGGTATGCTCATGGTACCAAGCTACTGCTGCTTGTTGGCAGCAAAGGGCAGAAATGAACCCTTTTCATTGTATCCGCTAGGGTTCAGTTTGACACTTCGTATCACTTGGGTTTTTTTTTTTTGGTTTTTTTTTACTGTCTTAATTAACTTGGAAGGAGTCAGTAGTTACCAAGAGAATAGTCAAATTTGCTTCCTTTGTCCCTCCCTCCCCCCATAACAGAAATGTCATGTAATTGGGTCCAGAGGCCTGGGGTTCTATTCCAGCCCTGCTGTAAGCTTACTGACCTTGAGCAAGGTGTGTTGTTTTTCCGTGCCTTAGTTTACCCATCTTTGTAATTTCTCATGAGAGGTGTATAGAAGTATGATGTATTCCTTTCTATAAAGGAGCTACAACTTTGTTCTCACAGGTCTGTTGCTAGGAGTTATAGCTGTCACAGAATCAGCATTTTGACTTTGCTGTAGGATAAAATAGGATGAGCAAGTGTTTAACTTTTCTTCACGCAGCAAACAGAAGAAATTCAGCAACTGAAAAAGGAGGGTGTTTTGAGGGGGGGAGACCTCAAAGCAACTCAGTTTGAGTCTCTCTTTATTGTGAAGTCTAACTTAGAAAATCCAAGAGAGCAGCAGGCAGTACTTTCAGTCTAGAGATATGTCATATTCCCCCACCCCCGTAGCTGCAGCTCTATCCAGGGAGTGTCAGGATCTCTTCAGTCAGTTGAGGCCAGACACAGACATCACTGCTGATGTTCAAAGTGGCCCTAACCTTCAGTGGTCTGACTCCATATCAGCAGGGATTTTTGGATGGGTACCCAGTCTCTAGTATAACACGCTGGCCACAGCCAGCATATGCCTGCTGGAAGTTGTTTGGTTCTGAATGTTTTTATGGTAGACTCAACCCTCTTTTGAGCATACATTTGAAACAGAGTGGCTCTTTGTCATTATGCAAATATTTATTAGCTTTGCTGACCCTTATGGTCTCTGAAATTGTGACTTCATCATGAAAAACCTTCTTCCAGTATACTTAAAGTATTTTTTCCAATCAGATGGGTCCAATACCGTTTGTCAGATTATAAGCAGAGTCCACGTTCCCAAGTTTGCTGAAAAGGATTTGATTAGCTGTGTTGGTACCTGCTGAATACCAGCTGCTTGTGGTACCTACTGGATTGTGGCACATACTGTGACTTTGTTTCCTTCCCAAATCGATGGGCATATTAAAACTAAGTTAAATGGCAGCCGGTTGAGCCAGAGATCACTCTGAGGATCTAAATGCCCCCCCCCCGGGCCCTTCTGAACGCAGGCAGCTCTGTTCATAGAATCTCTTTTAAGAGGGGCACCGCTTCTCTTTTGAAAGTGAAATCCCTACAACAGCAGAGGCAGGAAGCCTCATATAAAATGAAACAACTTGATTCTTTCATCAGAAGAGCAGGCACTTAAAATACTGTCTTTGCTTAATTGGAGATTTAAATTCAGCAAAGTCTTCATTTAAGAAGTGATTGTGACTATGTAATTGAAAGACTTTTGTGACAAAGTGTAGTTACTTAAATGAGGGTTACAGAATAATCCCAGGTATGTTTTGTATTGTGGCAAATGATTGTGTTTGCTTCTCATGACGCTGAAGCGGGTTGGGATGATCCTACCCCAGGCAGGGGGTTGGACTAGATGACCTCTGGAGGTCCCTTCCAGCCCAACTTCTCTATGATTCTGTGAGAAGAGCCTGTTGATCTAGGACCATTAATTGACAGTGCAGCTAGGCATGGTTGAGACTGGGAGCTTGTAGTTCTTGCTCCGTGGAGATGAGGTTCCTTGCCATTGACAGAGTGGACACACTGAAGTTGTGCATTGAAAGCAGCACTCCTTTTCTTGATATACTTAGATGGATTCGTACAAGAAATGGTTTTCCATGCTGGCAATACATTTTTCTGGGTGCTTGTAGTTTCCTGATGTGGCGATAAGCATAATGGCAAGGCACAAGGGCATCATGTGAGCTAAAAGCTCCATAAACTTGCCAAGTGGTGATCTGCACCAATGTTGGCATGCCCGCCTCGGGTACCTCTCTCTCCTTGTCTAAATGAAGCTCAGCAGCTTTCATAAGGTGGGTTATAGAAAGATGAGAAACTCATAGTGGGAAAGTCTCAGTCCCTCCCCCATGGATGAGGAGAGCCCAAAGTAAAAAGATAAGGAGCAAGCCAAGCACATCCTGAATTTTTTGACTCTGGGTTTGTACTGCAGCAGAGGACTCTGTCTCAACTTGGACCAGGACTTCTGAAAGCCTGTTTGGCACTTTTTGTGCTGTTACAAAGTTACATTGCTGTCTAGCACCCTCAGGGGAATCGCTATGCCCTGAGGGCTGTGCAAATGGGGAGGTATGCAGTCATATTACATGTGTTGATTTGACTGTGTTACTGCTGCTAGTTCTCATTCCCATCCCCCCAGTCCATGTTCTCCTCACTGCCTTTACCAAAGGGGAAAACTTCATGCAAATTAAAATTAAACCCATTACTTCTGGGTTTATCTCCTTCTAACCCTGAAATATGCACTTTCCTTCCCAGAGCTGACTACTACAGTCATTTCTTTCCCCTCCCACACAAACCTGTTGAGACTGCCACTTTCACTTGGAGGCTTTTTGCGCTTGTAGGAAGCTGTCAAAGGGCCCTACTAAATGAAGGCTTCCGTCCAGAAGTTCACAGTTTTGGGTCAGGTGCGATCTTGGCAGAGAAAAATAGAATAAACCCTTTGGCTATCCAGTCCGCTTCCTTATCCTTTTGTTTTCTGTGCATGGCATGGTATGAACTAAAAACCACTCCTTAGCCCCAGAGACACTAAAAGGCCAAGCTCTGAAATATCAAACTTCCTTATTCTTTCGATTGGGCTTCTATTGCAGAAGTCTTCAGCCAGTATTAGAAGAGAAGTGTCCTTCACCCTCAAAAGTGGTATGAATGAAAGAGGTTCTGTGTCTGAAGGCATCCTAAAGTGTTCACTAAAACACTTCTGAAATAGAAATGGAAGATCCTGGATATTATTAAGTGGAAAAACCTTGTGGTTTTGTGGCCTTGGAGTGTGGAAAGAGGTGCTAATAGCATGGGAGAGTGAATACTATTGACATTCTTCAGCTGGGAACTGCTGCAGGGAGTTCTGGTAATCCTAATCTGTATGCCTGCAGGCTGTATGCATGGCTGCACTGAAACTTGCTTCCTTGGGAAAGAGATGATTTACCGGCACACTGCGAGGGCTCAGTTTGCTTGCGTGTGTGTCGTGTTGTTGCTCTCCCCGCCTTTTTAGAGCAATCCTGAAAGCTGTTAGCTTACAATCCTGTGCATAAGATGTTCTCATTCAGTTCAGTTTTGTTGTATTCTCAAGTTCCTGTGTCGTCTTGGATTCCATAACTCTGGATCATGACAATTCTTGCTGCAGGAAGACCTGTTTACCTATAGATGCCTCCCAGTCAACAAAATGGAATGTTTCATTTGGGAGACTGAGTGGTTTCTCTCCATATGCTTGGCGCTTAAACAGTTATTCTAATTAGGGTGTGTTTTGTTGTGCGGTATCAAAGTTTAGCCCCCTGAGAATCCTGGCAGGCAGCAGGTAGGGCATAAAAAACTCTTTCAGGAGCCAAAATAAATTTCTCCCCTTGGTTACTGCCTCTTGAGTGACAAGTCCACTAGTTCAGACTGGTATATCTGAAGTATAAAATGCTTGCTGGACAAAGTGTTGGCATTCAGAATGAGCAAGTTGATAAGGAATTTTTTCACAGTCAACAGTTAATCGGGACTTCTGTAGCTGAGCATAGGTTTTGAATTGAGCCATGCATTTCATGGTTTGTATCTGGCAGGCTCCCCATCTGTCACCAGAGCAGAACATGATGCAGGGTTCCTTGTGCTTTCTTTTAGGAAGAGCCTGGGTTATGCTCAGATTGGAGAGATCTCCTGGTGAAAGGACGGTTGAAGGATTGTGAATGAGTCAAATCATTACAAAGCCTATGATATAGATGGATCTGCTAACTCATCTGGCTGATTCCCCTGCTCTCAAAAGACATGCTGATGTTATTGTCCCAGTGGCTATCTAAATGTTGTTTGTTTGGTGGTAGTAAAAAAGGGGAAGGGGCATAATATCTCTAATGGAAGTGGGAACAAGATGTTTTAAAGTATATTGAGAGTTTTTCCTTTCCCATTTTTCCTTAACTTCTGCCTGTTGGAAAGCTAATGCCTCTTGTAGTCTCCCCCTTGGTTCACCTGGGAAATGAAGTGCTAGCCTGAAGATTAGGTTCACATGGGTCAGAACTCTGGATGTCTTTATATAAATCTGTCTACTTTGGTCTCTCCAGCAGGTAACATCAAAAGGTGCTGGTTTAAATCCCAATGCAAAAGTATGGCAAGAAGCTCCACAGGGAAGCACTGAAGCTGCACAAGTGACCAATGGCACTGAGCATTCGTGGCCGGAAACGGCAGCCACATCAGGGACTCATGCTGAGGGTGAGATGTCAGAGCTACCTACCTAAGCATGACCAGTGACTTCAGTCCCTTGCTAAGTTGGGATTGTGTGTATTGTGTTTAAGCCTAAATCCAGCAGTTAGAAGGAACCAGTGTTCCTAACCTTGATAGTACAGCTCTAGACTTTAAATGTAGTTAGCTTGCATTGAGTCTGCCAGACATCATGGTACAGAAGATCGGTTGAAGTGAGTTTTGGCTTAAAAATCTGAGGTGATGCCTAAAACAATACTGAGGGAAGAGTAATTCAGTAAGGGGAGCAGTGTGGGGTAGTCTTGTGCAATGCTTATGGCCCAGTGATGATCAAGTATCGCGCTAAGAGGGAAACAAGTCACTAAATGTGTGGAAATGGCTTCTAGACTCTTTCTGCCTTTTTCTCCTTTTACCTCACCTTCTGTTTCCTTTTCTGTTGTCTTTTTCTTACCATTGCTGCACTTTAGTGTACACTTGACCCTATGAACAGAAAGATTATGAGATCTGAGGGCTGCTTAGTCCAAGTGGATTGAGCTATTCCACATTTTAATCTCTCTTGGATGTTACATGGCAAAAAAAAAAAGGCTTTTTTCATGCTTAAACCTTGCTTGTGTGGTAGATATCTCCTGATGTGTAGCATGAGGAGGGAAAATCTAGTCCTCCAGGAGGAGATGGTTCTGGTAGCATGATACTACTTGGTAAGTCTTTGAGTCAATATAAAGTTTAACTTAAAAGCATTTGCCGTCCAAGGTGAGGAGAAACGCAGTGAGTGACATTTTTATTCTAAAGATCAGTTGCCGCTTCAGCATGAGTGCCTCCTTTGGTTAGAAATGTCAATTTTGCCTTGACAAATAATACTTATGGCTGTTGCAAGTAATTCATCTGTGTTTTTTAAGTGTCTAAACAGAAGCCATTTGAGAAACTAACTGCTATAACATGTTAGATCATGACCTTTTTGTTCTGTTTGTCTCTGAGATCAATGGTTGCTGGTTCTAGACTGATTTTCAGGTGGGTGGTAGCTGTGTTTCAGATCCCCTCATCTGCATAAGGGACCCCAGAGAGGGGAGAGACTGAGTTTTCTTCCACTGCATTTCTCCTACCTTACTTATCTTGGTGGGACAAGCAAAAGGAGTTTAACCTCTGATATCTGCAGAGCCCTGGGGGTTAGCGTCTGTTAAGTGTATGCTAAATGCATAACTTCCATGGTGTTTCCTGGTCGTCTCCTTGTCCTAGGCAGAAGTGTGTGTGTGTGTGTGTGTGTGTGTGTGTGTTGAGGGAAAGGCGGGGGGTCCTTTTGTTATATTTATTTAAAAAAAAAAAAAAAAGGGAAAAAAATTTGTTGCGTATCATTGTGAGACCAGTACAAACAAGGAAAGCTTTCTAGATGGGGAAATATGAACCATCTGCATGGACCATGCTCTCAAATGTAAAATAAAGAAACGGATCGGAAGTCTTTGAGTTGCAATATTCTTGAACGTTCCTCATAACAGGCTAAGAAATGCACTTTAAATGCACATTTTGGAAGATAGTCTGAAGCTGACAGCATCCTTTTTCCCCTTTCTGTGTTGCTGTTTTTGTGCCAGGTAACGTAGAGATTTCAGAGGATAGCTGCAAGCAGTATGAAGTGATGTATTCCCCATCTTGTGAAGCTCCAAGAAATGGCACAGGTGTTGAGGAAGCAGCTGCTAATGGACTGGTCCTAGCAACTGAAGATTTTGGCTACCAAATTTATGATGCTTCTGGTGAGTGTACATGCCAGCCTGGTCAATACCAGTAATCTTGAGGTGCCTTTCACTGAGAGTATTAATGATCTGTCTTTCTCATAGGCCTGTTGAAGTCCACAGCTTAACACATTTGCCTGTGCTCTTAATGTACTTATGCACCAGAAAACTGTTATGCTTCTGCTGTGGGTGGAGTGCTTGGTAAACCATCCAAAAGGAGTACAGGTTTTCCTTGCTTTATGCGGGTTCTGTACGTGCAAATTTGCTGTTATGCGATAATCCTCTTTATTCCAAAAATTCATTATATGCGAGCTAAATTCACTCTTATGTGATCGGTACAGCAGAAGCCCGCAGCCAGCTGATTTGTGTGGTGCCTTGTGGGAGTGACACGCACCAAAATAGTCTCCTGTGTGGCTCTGCTCCTTGCTTGTTGTCTGTGACATAATTCTGTAGTTGGCAACCCCATTATGGCTTCTAAGCATCCCACTAGCTTATCTCATACCCCTCTCTGCTGTTGGTGAGTACCAAAGTGGTGTTATAAAAGTGGTAGAAATGGGCCTGGGGGTCAGTACAGTCGAGGTCTTGGAACATATCCCTATTTGTTACATTGTAAAGTGGGTTCCCCTTATGTGAATTCAAGTTATGCGCTGTTTTCCAGGAATGTATGTACAGGCAGTCCTCAGACTTGCGTCACAATTGGTTCCTGAAAACCCATTTTAAGTCGAAATGTAACTCAGGACCAATTTTCTCATAAGAAACAAGGTTAGAAATGGGGGATTGGTTCCTGAACCAAGGCCCGATACCCTATTTTCACCAAAAACACCCCAAAATTTTGTACTCAATCAATTATAGATGAGTAATATAGCTACATTAATGTATTTATATTGATTTGGAAGTACTTCTTTCAGGTGGCTTTGGACTTTTTGAAAGGCTCTCGGTTGGACTTTTTGAAGAGTTCTTGGTTGGAGTCTTCTCAGGGGTCTTGGCTGTAGGTTTTTCTGGGGTCTTGTCTGCTTTCTTAAAGAAAGTGTCCAAAGTAGTTTGGACAGATGTTCTTCAGGGAGATGAGCGACGCAGTGAACTTGTTCACTGACGTGGCGTCACATCAGATCAAGCGTTGTAAGTCAAAACTGATGTCATAAAGTTGAAACGGTGTCAATTTATAAACGTAAGTGTGAAATGTTGTAAGTTGAGGACTGCCTGTATAGCATAAAGTGAGGGAAACCTGTACTGGATAAGGGCAGCCTAATGATAAGCAAATACATCCTATATGAGATGAATGACACGTGAACAAAGCCACCTAAGTGCAGAACATTGGTGTTCTTGAGCCCCTTGGAGGTTCAGAAGATGATTAACTAGAATTGTGAAGGACTGAGGAGTAAATGGGATGAAGAATCCAAAAGTCGTTAACTGGAAGGTCAGGCTGGAACTGATCTGAGTTGTGTTTAGGGGCCTGAGGAAGGTTGCCTACACAAGTAGTGTGTTGCACTTTTCAGGCTTTCACATTGTTTTTTCCGTAGAAAATCTTGCTTGCATTTTGATTTGCAGGCACGCTTGCTTTTTTTCAGCCCCTTCCTAAATTAATAAGCAGTGTGGGGTGTGCTGTGGCTCTTTTAATCTTACAGGGTCCCCTGTGCCCCTCTCCCCCCGATTGGTGGAAAGGCCCCATGGTTTGCTCCTAATCGGTGGGGAGGCAAAAACTGCAGTTTTAAATATGGCGTTCTTTTTGTCTCCTGCCACCGATTAGCTGAGGGGCTCTCGATGGGCCTGCTGTTTGCTGCTGACTGGTGGGGCAGCAAAAATGGCACCATGCTTAAGACAGACTGGTTTTAGCTTCCCTGCTCATCAGGATAGAGTGGCAGTGCCCTCTGCTAATCAACAGCAGGGGGGCAAGGGGCAAAGTGTGCACAGGGGAATGTGCAAGATTAAATGAGCTGCTGCACGCCGCATCTGCCATGAGTTTGGTAGGTCCCTACTTATCACCACTGCCTAGAATACGCTTCCATATAAAAATCATTGTTTTTGCATGCTCTGAGATCTGTGAGAGTGAATATCTGGCAAGAATAAGAATTTCTGTGCAAGCATATGAACATGGCATGTTAGTCTATGCAGTCCTTTTGTTATGATATACCTTGTAGATATGCAAGAGAGTTTTTACTGGGAAATGGAAATAAATATGGCTTGGCTTCCTAACTTGTTTGCTTGGATTTGTAATATAGATGCTGGCAAGAATGCTGCTTTAAGAACAGTGTTTAATTACTTGCTGCAGTGTAACAGACAAGCTCATACTCCTCTCAAAATGGAGGCTTTCTTACTATTCTGAATGCTAGCACTCAGAATAGCAAAACAGCAAAGCTCAAGCCATGTTGCCTTCCTAGGTACCTGGTAGACTGCATGTGTGGGGGTTGCTTAACTCCTTGTGCATTTAAAAAATGCAGCATTAGTCTATAACTGGGTGAAAGTGGAAAAAAAAATCTATAAATATTGTTCCACTCTTGTCCTGTGTTTTCATTTAAGAAGTTCTTTAAAAGTGCATTTGCAGTTACTAAGGTCTTGGGAATTATACTTTAATAATCACTCAAATTTCTGAGATCCAGCATGTTTTGTTTTTAGCCAGTGCATTTATAAAAATGACCATAGATAAGGCATGGGCCAAATCTTGGTGGTATTTAACATTTGAACGAGGCTTGTAAACTGCAGTTTACAAGATATGATAAAGTAGCACTAACTTATAAAACCTGTCTCATGTTTCCATTCATCTTCTACAGAATGATTTGAGTTTTCCATTCTTTGTGCACAAGGAAACATTCTTTTTTGCACTTTATTTCCAGTAACATGTTGCTGAGGTCCAGTGACAATCAGCTAATTTAATATTTACCTTTAGGTGAAAGAGGCTCTGCTGTGTCTACAGAAGACCTTAAAGAATGTTTGAAGAAACAACTTGAATTCTGCTTCTCACGGTATAGCATGACTAATTTTTTCATGTTACTAAATTGCTTATAAAAGCTGCAGATAAATGTTACTGTGTTTTGGTTGCAAATGTCTTGTGCTCTGGATCTGGGTTAAAATTTTACAGTGAAAAGGAGGTTATAGGTCAAGAGACCAGAGATCAAGTCCTGAGCTTGCTGCTGGGATACAAGGAACAGTAGGCAGCGTGCAAGTAACATTAAATTCCAGCATGGTGCTGTTTTGCAGTGGTGTCGGTGCAGACCAAGAGGTTTGTAGGTACAGGCAACCCCCGCTTAACACTCTTTCGCTTACCACAGTTTTGTTATAGCGCTCGTTTAAAATACCTACCTGGTTTCACTCAGCACTGAGCACATTTCGTTATAATGCTCAGTGCAGGGGTGGGGAGAAGTGGTAGCAGTGGTGTCGAGGGAAGTGGTGAGTGGCAGGTGGCAGGAGCCCAGGGTCTGCTCTGGCATGTGGTGCTGGAGTGGGCGGGGAGGAGGGGTAGCAGCAAGAAGGGGTGGGTGCAGGGCTAGGCAATGTGAGCTTGGAGCCCAGGCCGGCGGGGCCCAGGGTGGGGTGGCAGGAGCGTAGGGTCTGCTCTGGCACATCATGCTGGAGCAGCCAGTAGGCGGGGAGGAGCAGTGGCAGCAGTGAGAAGGGGCGGGGTGGTGGTCATGAGCGTGGGGCACAGGGCAGCAGGAGTCGCGGGACCCAAGGCCAGGGCCGGCAGGAGTGCAGGGTCTGGGCCAGTGTAATCCAAGCCTGCAGATGTCCCCCACCCCTGGGCTGCAGCCCATGCCCTGTTCTGCTCCGGTCACATACCCGTGGGGTGCAGATGCCATCCTGAGCCTGCAGCCATCTGGTGGTGGTGGCTCATCACAGCGCTGGGTTTCTTGGGGGGTGCCCCGGCTGGGCAAAGTGGGGTGCGGGTGGGTGGCCCCACTGCTTACCCCACACCAGAGCGCTGCTGCCTTCTCACCATAAATCCCTGGGTGGGCAGGTCCCTGACTTGGGTCCCATGGGTGGTGTAGTTGGGGCTGTGCATAGGTACACTGGTGGCCAGTGTGTGCAGTCTGGCAGGGGCCATTGCAGTGAGGGAACAACGAGGCTGGGAGGAACTGATGCCTTCCCTGGCGGAGCCCGCATGGTGCCTTGCCGGGAGCAGCCTGGCTAGGGCTAGCAGGAGCACAGGGCCCAGGGTGAGGCTGCAGGATCGTGGGGGTCTGGGCCGACAGGTGGTGCAGAACCAATCATCTTTATTTACATTAAATCCTGTGGGGAAATGGGTTACACCCAGCCTGTCCATCAACAGCCAGCAGTTGATAACTCCCACTAGTTTTAATATTTGGCCCAGAATTTGTCGGTGGAAAAGCAGTACAATTGTAGCACTCCCTGTACTCGTCTACACTTTGATAGCAGCAGACCCTATCATGGGGGGTTGAACATTCCCAACCTGCAGGCACTCTCCAAACCCAGAGTTACGCCAGCACTTTTGCTCCAAGCTTGCTCCCAGTGGTTACTCTCTGCGATGCTGAGATCTCAGATAGATATGGAGGGACAAACCAGTAGCAGCTTTAACTGTATGCTTAGCTTTGAAGAGCCCCTTTGGCTTGGGGTGGGGGTGGGGAGCAGGGGAATGTGCTCAGGCCGCTTGCTGGGAATCAGCAGGACTGCAGTGTGGAAAGTTTTTATGTACACATGTGGACACTGCCTAATTACTTCAGCTCCCAGGAAAAGTGCTGGTTCTGAGAGAGTTGTCTAAGGGCCCCAGATAGTGCTGGTTCAAACAGACTATAAAGGTTGCTATGTAGTTTTGCTGGAGACATTCTGTGGATGCTCTCTGAAACTTGTTGAAGCATTGCAAAGACAATTGCCTGGCTGTCACACTCATGCAGCTTCTGCCCTGCAGTCTTATTCTGTAGTGAAGACTACAGAATTTTTTTTGTTTCACAGCTCTTAAGAGGTTGAGGTCAAGTAATCGCATACACTCCTCCCTAAGGACTCCTGAGAGTATTTAAAGGCAGTGTAATGTGCCAGAGACCTGGTTGTGGGCACCGTTTTGTTGTACTTCTTCATTGTATTTGTATTGCTGTTTGTCTTGCCTAGCTTTGACCCAGTAACTCCCAGAGAAGAAAACTTGCAGAGCACATGCATCATGACCAGAAAGACGAAATGTTCACAGTGAATTGTCTTTTCATGCTAAAGCTTTTGTCCCCAACCTCTATCACTTGTGTAAATGCCTGTTTACTTCTAGTGAGAATCTGTCGAAGGATCTCTACTTGATGTCTCAAATGGACAGCGATCAGTTTATTCCAATATGGACAATCGCCAACATGGAAGGAATTAAGAAGCTGACCACTGATATGGACCTTATTCTTGAAGTATTGAGATGTATGTTGAAGTCTCTTTATAAAAGCATGTCTAGATGAGTGATGCAAGCAGCCAGTTTGTTTGACGGAGGAGTTCTCCTTAAATTTTAAAAGAAAACCTATTGTGTTCTGGCAAGCTGATTGTTACATAGTTACTGATCTTTTTTTTTTTTTTTTGGTGGGGGGAAATGAGCTCTAGTTGATTCTGAAAGAAAGTCATGCTAACCAAAAGCATATCCGTGTATAAGTAACTATTTTGGTGTTTATTTTGGTGACTTTTCAGTAAACTTCCTCAACTGGTCTCAAACAGCTCTCAGAAGAGGGGCCTGCACCTCCATGCAAATTTTTTAAGCATCCGTAAATGAAAGAAGGTTGAAAACTACTGATGTAGAAAGCTTCTTCAGAAGGGCAGTTTTCCCTATGTGCACTCTCATGCTGACTGTGCACACTTCCTATCACATGGCAGTTGGTACAAGAGGTTTTTATAATATTAATGCTGAAGCCATAACTGTCTTACCAGATCTCATCTGAATTTCTCAGTAGGACTGCCTAGAAACTTGCATTTTTTTGTGCCTTCTTGATGCAAATGGTTCTTATTACTGTCCAAAAAAAATGTAAGATCTGTCTCTCAAATTTTAAATGTGAAACTTGAAAGCACTAACTCCTAGAGCTTGTTTTATAGCCACCAAAAAATTAAAATAGGTATTGAGTGTCCTCCAGTCTCGTGGACAATGAGCAGAGAGTACTCAGCACATTTTAAATATTGAGTGCATGCACGACACCATGCAGTGCATGTTTCAAGTGAATTCATGACTTCAGATAATGCAAGAACTCATCGTTTAGTTATGCAAAGATTATCTACTGATATCCCTGCCTGTGAGCAGGCTTGGGTTTTGACCATTATTTTAAACCTTTTTTTTTTTTTAAGTGGGCTTAAAGACAGTGATTACACAGCCGCAGCTTGTAGTTGTATCAGATAACCAGTCTCATATCATTATTTCCACTTATGGTAGAAGACTGGCTTCATGATTTCCAGTGTTAGGATAAAAACTATACCCATATGTTCACAAGAAGTTGGTGCAGTCTTTATGATCTGACTTTTTGCAGTCCTTGTGAGTCTGAAAAACCTGCTGACCTCAGCATTCAGTGCATTCAGACTGCAAGAAATGCAGGTGGTTCTTGTATGCTTTTTCATAATATTGCTTAATGCTAACCTTGCTGGACACCCATTTTTAAAAAGTATTATAGACTTTTTTTATTAAAAGTGCAGTTCTGTTTCGGGAAAATTGCTTTTGGCAAAAGATTAATTTCCAAATTGCCAACTACGATATGAAGATTGTATATTGGTTTTTCATATATCTCGTGTTTATCAAGGTTGAGCTCTTTAGGAACTAATTTGTGCAAATAATTAAAGTCTATAGCAATGGATATAATGGTACAAATAAGAAGCAAAACCATCATTTCTTCCAGCCTTCAGATGACACTTTAGTTCCACCCACCAATGTGTCAGTGTGCTGTTTTTAAATGCTTGAAATTTATTCTGAATTTGAAAAATTGTCCCTCTTGTCTTTTATGGCTTCTTGGTGGAGTCAGGAATTCAAGAGCCCGTACGCTACAGGTGGACTATATTGTGTAAAATTAAATGTTGTGAACCTACAAATGTATCAAAATACTTATCTTTCTGTCGTCTTACTATAAATGTGTGTGGGGCTGGGCATCTTGAAGTTAATATCCCATGCTTTCAAATTAAAGCAACTTTCTAATTTAAATTTTAGCTTCTCCTATGGTACAAGTGGATGAGAGAGGAGAGAAAGTAAGACCAAACCACAAACGGTGCATCATTATTCTTCGTGAGATCCCTGAAATGACCCCTGTTGAGGTAAACTTTATTGAATGGCTTAAACATTACTTCAGACAGCACCAGAAAAAGCAACTTTTGCAGAGCATGCTAATTGGTAGGGCTGTGTGAAGCTTTGGTCACTGATTCAATTTGGCAGAGATTCGGCCTGATTCAGTGGCCGAATCTCTGAATCCAAATCGAATCAGGAGACCCTTTAATCTCTCCATATCAAATCTGAACCCTCCCAGTTGATTCAGAGAGATTCAGTGATTCGGACATAGATGCAGCTTTAAATGGTTTTTTATATATACCTCGAGGAACCAGGCAGCTTGTGAATGCTGTGATGGTGGGTCAGATGGAGTGTCCCACAGGAGTGCAGGGGAGTCTGCCGCCCCACAGCTTGGTGACTGGTGTCTCCTGGGTCTGGGGGGGCACCCGGGGTCCCCCTGTGGCTAATCACTGAGCCAGAGGGGTTGGGGGGGGTCTGCCGCCAAACACATGGGGGGGGATCCCTACACTCCTATAGGACGCTTCATCTGCCCCACCATCTTGGCATTCACGAGCTGTGCCTGGTACCTTGAAGTATGTAGAAAAAACATCTAAAGCTGTACCTATGGGCAAATCACTGATTCTCTGAATCAGCATCAAATCTTCAGATTTTGCCAAATTGAATCGGGACAGTGATCCATCCAAATCAACGAATCAATTCACTGTCCCCTGATTCGGGCTGAATCTAAATCGAATACAGCCTGTTTTGTGCACCCTTATTAATTGGTATAAACTTGCATGTGAAATATAATTCAGCATGAGTGCAGGCAATTCATGCAGCAACTGTGTAAACTAGCACAACTAATGCAGTTCCATATCTCGGAGGTCTGTTTTATCCCCTTTTAAAAATGTGCAACCCATGATGACACAGGCTGCTTCTTGCATACAGTTTGCTGTACAGTTTACTTCAAGCGTTAAGAATCTTAATTTGGAAGGACCTTGGTGTTGAGGCAAACTGTCTGGTATGAAGGCAGTTCATTCCCTTGACTGCTTAATGTTGTTGGAATCTCTTCCCAACCTTACCAGAAATGCCCTTTGTTTTATATCTGAAAAACGAATGGGTGGTAAGCTAATGGCATTGGCTCTTAAAGTACAGATATTATTCCTGTGGAGAGAAGTCTCAAAAAAAAGAGAAAATCTTTTGAAAAAAATCAGGACATCTCAGCCTTGTTACATTTTTAAAGATCATTAAATTCAACCCAAGACAGCTCTGTAGACTGACTTACAGGAGACAGTGTTTGTTTCTAGTTTCCTTTGTATCTAGGTTGGTAGGAGTGTTGAGGGTGCATATTCATGCCCTGGGGTGGATATTACTGTCTTGAGCAAAGATTCTTTCAGGTGATTAAAGGCAGTTCAGAAGTTTATTGCTTGAGGAGGACTCTCTTATCAGTAGAAGTGAAAATATAAGTGAGAAGACTGCTTGGGTACTACATTATTACGTGTAAGAGTCAACAGCCAGCCAGAGAGAAGTTTTAAAATATTGGTAACCTCAGTTAGCCAGCTGTCAGCCTTGTAAAGGGCAAGATAACGTGAAGGTCCATTGCAGGCTATCAGAAATATTTTTGAGTGAGTCTTCAGTAATCTAGGAACTGTAAGAGAAACAGAAACGCTTGCCTTGGCTGACGAAGCTTCTTGCATCTTTGGACTGGGGGTTGCTGTAACAAGGGTTTTTTGTTTTGGTTTTTTTTTTTGCTTTAGGAAGTTAAGGCTCTGTTTAAAAATGAAAATTGCCCCAAAGTGATAAGCTGCGAGTTCGCTCACAATAACAACTGGTACATTACATTCCAGTCTGATACTGATGCACAGCAGGTAAGATGACCTTGAGCTTCAATGTAGTCTCAACTAGTCTGTCCTTTCCCCACTGGGAAGCATTGTGAAATGCAGTAGAACAGGGGGTAGGCACTGTCATTCCATCTGCAGACCAGAACAACCCCCCCCAGTTTGAGGGAGGGCGCTAGGATCCTGCTGCTGTTCATCAAAGCTGCCCTGCACAAAGCAGCGCCAGACTGAACACTGCTGAAGCCCCATGTCCATGGACTGGGTCCAGAGGTTGCTGACCCCTGTTGTAGTACTTGCTGTAAGGGAAGATTGAGATTAACCTATCCTATTTTCCTTTTGGAGCCAAGAATTTACTTAGTTGAAGTTCAACATCCTTTCCTGCCCTTGTCAGTGAAATAAAAGTACCCAGCTAATCCAAAAGTTCTAGCATCCCAACTCTGAACTGTTACAATCCTTGGAACAGAAGAAAAAACTCCTTTTTGATGGCAATGTGATACAGTCCCTTCCATGCTGGGATTTTAAAAAGATTGTCAGGCCCTTTTTGAAGTACCACAATGCCTGTTTCCCTTTTTTTCATAAAAAAAAATTGTGTAACTAGTTCCAAAATAAAGAAGCAACCTCGGGATCGACTGTTTGTTAGTTTCTTTCAGAAATGTAGTTTTACCCAAATGTTATTTCAATTAATGTTTCTCTTTTGTATGTACACAGGCATTTAAATACTTAAGGGAAGAAGTAAAAACATTTCAGGGCAAGCCAATAATGGTAAGACACTTATGGGCTAAGGGAAGATTTGAGGGCAGTGTTGCGGTTGTTTTTTGGCAGGCGTTGCAAACTTATTAATAACTTAAGTAACTAGTCCTGGATTTCAGCAGGTCTGCCCTTGCTCACCAGTTTGAGTCCTGTATGAATGGTTACAAAATCTGACTATTTAGTGGATGGTGACTCTTTCCAGTTCTTTTCCAAACAAAGGTGTCATCTGCATTTTTTTCTTTAACAACTTTAAAACTTGTACTGTCTGTGAAACTTGGCACAGGTACTACACAGTTCTCTTCTAAGTGAGATTTGAACAATCTGGATTTGTGCTGTGAGTGGAGTCTAACTCTCCATACTTACTATGCAAACTAAGCTTGTAGGGGCTGAAATTTGGCGTCTTTCAAAGCATTGGCTTTTTCACTTTTAATAGTTAATCTGTCTACATAACAGCTGTTGCTGTAGGAGGCAGCAGAACATTTTAGTTCCCAGTGATTCTGTGGCTTCAACTTATTGCTTGGGTTGTCAGAAGACTGAACCAATGCTGTAACCAGGTTGATTGCACAAAGCTTGCTTGTAGCCGGTAGTTAACACAAGCTTTCCTCTCTCCCGTACCTACAGCATTATAAATCTTCTCACTTGCTCTTTCATTGCTATGTGGGGCATGTAACACAGCTTAATTTCTTTTTCAGGCAAGGATAAAAGCCATCAACACTTTTTTTGCTAAGAATGGTTACCGGGTAGTGGATTCCAATGTCTATACTCAGCCAGTTCAAACACAAGCACAATTTGCCTCACCACTGTTTATGCAGCCTGTTTATAGTCCTCAGCAGTACTCTATCTACAGTATTGTGCCTCAGACCTGGTCTCCAAGCCCTGCACCTTACTTTGAAACACCACTGGTAAGTAATTTACATTAAGGGTAATGGCTTGAAAAATCAGATCAGTGATCTGTTGAGGTCCATTCCGACCCTAGTTTCTGTGAACCTGCTCTGCAAGAACTTGGATAGCAAAATGGAGCGTAGAAGACGTGAGCTGGCGTGCTTGTTCCTTGGGCTGCTGTGTACCGACTCTTTAGTTGATGGTATCAGCCAGAAAGAGGTAGGGTTTTGAAAGGAGCCAGGGCATGCCATCTGCTGCAATTATTCTGAAGGATATTTTTATAAATTAAATTTATGCCACGTAAAGCTTGGAGGTGGAGGGTTTTCTTTGTCCTTTGTGGGCAGAAGGGGCCATGAGGATGTGGAGGCTTTGCAAACTGTAGATTCAAGAGGGATTTTTTAAGTAGTGGATTATAGCAGTGCAGGGAATGTGGTAGCTCGGGGCTGAGATGTTAAACGGTTTGTGGAAAAAAGCAGCTACTTCCATTGTTATCTGAGCCTTTGTGTACTCCTGATGCTTACAAGTTTGTATCCTTGTTATCTCAGTTCAGCAGCTGATTCCCTGTTGTGTTTTGTATTTTCATTTCAGGCCCCCTTTCCCAATGGTGGATTTGTGAATGGCTTTAGTTCACCAGGATCATATAAGACAAATGCTGCTTTGAGTATAGGTCGCCCATTCCATAGAAACCGGTAAGAGCTGGAAAGCAGGCAGAGCTGCTAAACTTACATCTTTAGTCTCCTAACGATAATCATCAGACGTTTAAGGTCTCATATCTGAACCATTTGTCTCCTTGTTTGCTAAGTCTGTGGAACTTGCTTTAAACTAAATTTAGCCTAAAATTCAGGCCAGCATTGGTAAGGCCCAAAAAAATAAATAATAAATGTGTCCTGGAGAGTCTTATAAAGGTAAGGACTCCTGAAAGCTTCAAAGGAGTTGAAATCATGTGCTTGCTGAAAATAAGTCTTGATGTGGAGGGTTTCCAGATATAAACTAGTGCTTCTAACTAATTATGTCTGCTTTATTCCCTGAGCACAGACTCCTGCAAAACATTTTGGCTTCTGTAGTGAGGCTAACATTGTATGCAGAGTCATTCAGCTTTTTCAACTTCAGAGAGTGAAAAGCTCTAACAACAGTTTGGTAAAACTACTGAGTGCTGAATTTATCACCAGTTAATTTACCATGTGTGTCTTCTGATTAATTTTAAGGACTGAACTCAAAATACTCTCATTTACGGAAGAGGAAAGCAACTTTGTGTATCACTAGAGCGATGCTTTGTAATTACAAACACATATTCCCCCCCCCCCCCCCCCCCCCCCCCCAAAA